CCTCCTTTTTGTTACACACCCCCAGGAAGCAGCCCGTAGCAGCTGTCTAACTCCCAGGTACCTATTACTCCAAGGTAACAGGGGCATCACGGTGAAAGAAACTTTTTGCCATTTTGTCTCCGCCTGCACCGGGGATCGAACCCGGAACCTCAGGACTACGAATCCGAAGCGCTGTCCACTCAGCTGTCAGGCGCCCTACATGGTCAGGTATCCTTTGGAGGTGTTTGTCGCACTCGCTCTAGACGACCGTGAGAGGCAGGTGGTAGCTGCAGCCTGGACGACCCCAGCTGGAGGACAGCTGGAGGACAGCTGGAGGACAGTTGGAGGACAGTTGGAGGACAGCTGGAGGACAGTTGGAGGACAGTTGGAGGACAGTTGGAGGACAGTTGGAGGACAGCTGGAGGACAGTTGGAGGACAGTTGGAGGACAGCTGGAGGACAGCTGGAGCCCAGCTGGAGGACAGCTGGAGGACAGTTGGAGGACAGCTGGAGGACAGCTGGAGGACAGTTGGAGGACAGCTGGAGGACAGCTGGAGGACAGTTGGAGGACAGCTGGAGGACAGTTGGAGGACAGTTGGAGGACAGCTGGAGGACAGCTGGAGGACAGCTGGAGGACAGCTGGAGGACAGCTGGAGGACAGTTGGAGGACAGCTGGAGGACAGTTGGAGGACAGCTGGAGGACAGTTGGAGGACAGCTGGAGGACAGCTGGAGGACAGTTGGAGGACAGCTGGAGGATAGCTGGAGGACAGTTGGAGGACAGTTGGAGGACAGCTGGAGGACAGCTGGAGGACAGTTGGACAGTTGGACAGTTGGACAGTTGGAGGACAGCTGGAGGACAGTTGGAGGACAGCTGGAGGACAGCTGGAGGACAGCTGGAGGACAGCTGGAGGACAGTTGGAGGACAGCTGGAGGACAGCTGGAGGACAGCTGGAGGACAGTTGGAGGACAGCTGGAGGACAGTTGGAGGACAGTTGGAGGACAGCTTCTGGAGGACAGCTGGAGGACATCGTTTAAACCTCTTGTTAAATGAGCACTATGACAGGTGAGGGGAGAGTGTCGTGTGAGGCAGGAGGACAGCTGGAGGACAGCTTCTGGAGGACAGCTGGAGGGCAGCTTCTGGAGGACAGCTGGAGGACAGCTTCTGGAGGACAGGTGGAGGACAGCTTCTGGAGGACAGCTGGAGGACAGCTGGAGGACAGCTGGAGGACAGCTGGAGGACAGCTTCTGGAGGACAGCTTCTGGAGGACAGCTGGAGGACAGCTGGAGGACAGCTTCTGGAGGACAGCTGGAGGACAGCTTCTGGAGGACAGCTTCTGGAGGACAGCTTCTGGAGGATAGCTTCTGGAGGACAGCTGGAGGACAGCTTCTGGAGGACAGCTGGAGGACAGCTGGAGGACAGCTTCTGGAGGACAGCTGGAGGACAGCTTCTGGAGGACAGCTGGAGGACAGCTTCTGGAGGATAGCTTCTGGAGGACAGCTGGAGGACAGCTTCTGGAGGACAGCTGGAGGACAGCTGGAGGATAGCTTCTGGAGGATAGCTTCTGGAGGACAGCTGGAGGACAGCTTCTGGAGGACAGCTGGAGGACAGCTGGAGGACAGCTGGAGGACAGCTTCTGGAGGACAGCTGGAGGACAGCTTCTGGAGGACAGCTTCTGGAGGACAGCTGGCGGGCGACCTCGCAACATTCCCCAGTTCGTAAACTGTTCAATAAATAAAGACTAAGCCGCTGTTGATCGAGGAAAGATGAACAGGTTTCGTAAGAGGGGCAACTTGAAGACCGGTGTCCCAGCAACATGGGCAACTTAAGAAACAAAAGCCCCAACAAGAATACCATTACATTTAATAATTAGTAGAGAACACAGGTGAGGCTCCAGGAGGTGATGTTGACCCCCCCTACCTCCAGGTCCCCCTCCCACCTGCCAGGTTCCCCTCCCACCTGCCAGGTTCCCCTCCCACCTGCCAGGTCCCCCTCCCACCTGCCAGGTTCCCCTCCCACCTGCCAGGTCCCCCTCCCACCTGCCTCCAGGTCCCCCTCCCGCCTGCCTCCAGGTCCCCCTCCCACCTGCCTCCAGGTCCCCCTCCCACCAACCTCCAGGTCCCCCTCCCACCTGCCTCCAGGTCCCCCTCCCACCAACCTCCAGGTCCCCCTCCCACCAACCTCCAGGTCCCCCTCCCACCTGCCTCCAGGTCCCCCTCCCACCAACCTCCAGGTCCCCCTCCCACCTGCCTCCAGGTCCCCCTCCCACCTGCCTCCAGGTCCCCCTCCCACCTGCCTCCAGGTCCCCCTCCCACCAGCCTCCAGGTCCCCCTCCCACCAACCTCCAGGTCCCCCTCCCACCAACCTCCAGGTCCCTCTCCTACCTGCCTCCAGGTCCCCCTCCCACCAACCTCCAGGTCCCCCTCCCACCAACCTCCAGGTCCCCCTCCCACCTGAAGAGAAGGGACTTCGTGACATCTCACCAACATGGGTTCAGGGATGGCAAATCTTGCCTCACAGATTTAATAGAATTCTACGACCAGGTGACAAAACTTAAGCAAGAAGGTTGGGCAGACTGCATTTTCTTGGACCATTGGTAAGCCTTTGACACAGTATCCCATAAGAGGCTGCTCTTATAGGGTAGCATTATTACATTAGCTTATATTACACTATCTGTCTTCCATATTTCTGGAAGGTCTCCCGTCTCCAGTGACTTATTATATACTATGGAGAGTGGCAAGCAAAGTACTTCTGCACACTCTTTCAGTACGCATGGTGAGATTCCGTCTGGTCCAAGAGCACTTCTCACGTCCAGATTCAACAGATGTCTCTTAACCTCATCTCTGGTAATTTCAAACCTTTCCAAGGCTTTTCGGTTTACTGCCACCTCTCCAACTTCATGTGCGTGTGCGTGCATGTGCGTGCGTCACGTTGAGCGTGTTGCTGACAATATTCGCTACCTGTCCATCAGTGATCAACTCGGCCCCTCACCCAATACGTCGCATTTTTTGCACAATCGACAAGTCCGTTAAAAATGCGATGCATTAGTCAAAATTACGACATCGTAATTAAGAAAATTGTTATACATTGGCCTCGATAGGTTAAGTGGGGAGCTTCGGTTCGTACACTTCCGGTTAGGCAAAAGTGTTGCATTTGTGAGGAAGTGGGAGACGGAGAGAGCAGGGAGGTGGGTGGAGGGCGTGAGATGCTCTCCACCATGTCAACAGCTAGACTTAGGAACAAGGAACAAGGAGCAGACTGTCATCAAGAGGAAGCCTGAGGGGGCGCTCTACAGTGTGATGGGGACCCTCTACAGTGTGATGGGGACCCTCTACAGTGTGAGGGGGCCTTCTACAGTGTGAGGGGGCCTTCTACAGTGTGTGGGGGGCCCTCTATAGTGGGGGGGGGCCCTCTATAGTGTGTGTGGGGGGGGCCTCTACAGTGTGAGGGGGCCTTCTACAGTGAAGGGGGGCCCCTCTACAGTGTGAAGGGGACCCTCTACAGTGTGATGGGGACCCTCTACAGTGTGAGGGGGCCTTCTACAGTGAAGGGGGGCCCCTCTACAGTGTGATGGGGGCTCTCTACAGTGTGAAGGGGACCCTCTACAGTGTGATGGGGGCTCTCTACAGTGTGAGGGGACCCTCTACAGTGTGAGGGGACCCTCTACAGTGTGAGGGGGTCCTCTACAGTGTGAGGGGGTCCTCTACAATGTGAGGGGGGCCCTCTATAGTGTGTGTGGGGGGGCCTCTACAGTGTGAGGGGGGCCCTGTACAGTGTGAGGGGGCCCTCTATAGTGTGAGGGGGGCCCTCTATAGTGTGTGTGGGGGGGTCCTCTACAGTGTGAGGGGGCCCTCTACAGTGTGAGGGGGCCCCCTACAGTGTGAGAGGGCCCTCTACAGTGTGAGGGGACCCTCTACAGTGTGAAGGGGGACCCTCTACAGTGTGAGGGGGTGTCCTCTACAGTGTGAGGGGGGCCCTCTACAGTGTGAGGTGGCCCTCGACAGTATGAGGTGGCCCTCTACAATGTGAGGTGGCCCTCTACAGTGTGAGGGGGCCCTCTACAGTGTGAGGGGGGCCCTCTACAGTGTGAGGGGGGCCCTCTACAGTGTGAGGGGGACCCTCTACAGTGTGAGGGGGACCCTCTACAGTGTGAGGGGGACCCTCTACAGTGTGAGGGGGCCCCTCTACAGTGTGAGGGGGCATCCACACTCACACCTTCACCCACACCTACACCCACACCCCACACCTATCTTCTTGAGGTTATCTTAACAGCAGAGATAGCACCACTCTGAGGAAATAGATAAGAGGAAATAAGGCAGAGGCAAAAAATTACAGACCGATAGCACTAACATCACACATCATAAAGATCTTTGAAAGAGTGCTAAGAAGTAAGATCACAAAATACATGGTATCCCAACATCTCCTTGATGCACAGCATGTGGATCCCCTCCCATGTTGGAATATGTGGCAATGAACGAGCAGATGTGCTGGCTGTTGACGGCGCTGACAGAGACCACATTGAATACTTCATACCCAAGACTCCTCGACGAATTAGAGGTATCATCAGGCAACATCACCGTGATAAGGTTACTGGGGAAAGGAGGATAGAATCTGGAATCCGTCTTGGATACAAATATCCATGGAGACTCGGACTGGAAACAACCGTTGAACAGCAGAGTTGCAGAATCTGCAACTTGGTAGCACTGCACTGCAACAATCAACACACCAACATTCTTCAGTAACAAGAGTCACTTCCGGCCGCAGCCTCACAAGAGCCGTCACCATCATCAGTCACAACAATCGCTCACCACACGGCCCAAACGTCACTATTCCTCAACTCGTCGAATTCCCCAATGGCCCGGGTTCGAGTCTCCTTGCCCAACCCTTCCCCTGCCTCACTAGGTCGTTACCTTTCCCCCTAACGACCCCCATACCCTTCATGAGTTACCATCTTCACTCATTCCCAGTTATCCCGCCCACGCCAGTCCTGGTGTTCGTGTCGTTGGCCTGAGCTTGCACGTACCGATAACTCGGGTGGGTAGACGATGAAATGGCGGAGGGTGAAGCCGAAGCCCTGGTCAGTCCTGTTGATTGAGATGAGCCGCGGGCCGCCTCGGGGTCCCTGAAACAATGAAACATCGTTTAAACCTCTTGTTAAATGGGCACTATGACAGGTGAGGGGAGTGTCGTGTGAGGCAGGTGAGGGGAGTGTCGTGTGAGGCAGGTGAGGGGAGTGTCGTGTGAGGCAGGTGAGGGGAGTGTCGTGTGAGGCAGGTGAGGGGAGTGTCGTGTGAGGCAGTAACATTCAGGAAGCTCTTAGCACCACTCAGATATTCTCCAGAGGGGAGGTAATTGAAACTAATAAGTTTGCCATAGTCTACGAATGATACATACATACATACATACATACATACATACATACATACATACATACATACATACATACATACATACATACATACATACATACATACATACATACATACATACCATAAATATATACACTTGTCGAAAAAAAGTTTATCGGAAATTAATGATTTAAAGGGAAATCATGCTATCATACCCAATCTAGATGGGTATGATGGGTGAGTATGATGACAATTTTAGATTTATTAGTGGTGTGTCATTATATAATGGAATGTGAAACCATCGCGGAATTTAGAGATAACACCATCAATAGTGTCCAAGATGTGTGTAAGTTCTTCATTCATAATGATGTGCTGCCCGAAATCTTAGCGAAGTATTCAAAATTTGCTGACTGTAGGTGCAGCCTGCACATGACTGTAAAGCTGACGCCCAGTTGGGTGGGTGTGGAGCACATGACTGTAAAGCTGCCGCCCAGTTGGGTGGGTGTGGAGCACATGACTGTAAAGCTGCCGCCCAGTTGGGTGGGTGTGGAGCACATGACTGTAAATCTGCCGCCCAGTTGGGTGGGTGTGGAGCACATGACTGTAAAGCTGCCGCCCAGTTGGATGGGTGTGGAGCACATGACTGTAAAGCTGACGCCCAGTTGGGTGGGTGTGGAGCACATGACTGTAAAGCTGCCGCCCAGTTGGGTGGGTGTGGAGCACATGACTGTAAAGCTGCCGTCCAGTTGGGTGGGTGTGGAGCACATGACTGTAAAGCTGCCGCCCAGTTGGGTGGGTGTGCAGCACATGACTGTAAAGCTGCCGCCCAGTTGGGTGGGTGTGGAGCACATGACTGTAAAGCTGCCGCCCAGTTGGGTGGGTGTGGAGGACACGACTGTAAAGCTGCCGCCCAGTTGGGTGGGTGTGGAGCACATGACTGTAAAGCTGCCGCCCAGTTGGGTGGGTGTGGAGCACATGACTGTAAAGCTGCCGCCCAGTTGGGTGGGTGTGGAGCACATGACTGTAAAGCTGCCGCCCAGTTGGGTGGGTGTGGAGCACGTGACTGTAAAGCTGCCGCCCAGTTGGGTGGGTGTGGAGCACATGACTGTAAAGCTGCCGCCCAGTTGGGTGGGTGTGCAGCACATGACTGTAAAGCTGCCGCCCAGTTGGGTGGGTGTGGAGCACATGACTGTAAAGCTGCCGCCCAGTTGGGTGGGTGTGGAGGACACGACTGTAAAGCTGCCGCCCAGTTGGGTGGGTGTGGAGCACATGACTGTAAAGCTGCCGCCCAGTTGGGTGGGTGTGGAGCACATGACTGTAAAGCTGCCGCCCAGTTGGGTGGGTGTGCAGCACATGACTGTAAAGCTGCCGCCCAGTTGGATGGGTGTGGAGCACATGACTGTAAAGCTGCCGCCCAGTTGGGTGGGTGTGGAGCACATGACTGTAAAGCTGCCGCCCAGTTGGGTGGGTGTGGAGCACATGACTGTAAAGCTGCCGCCCAGTTGGGTGGGTGTGGAGCACATGACTGTAAAGCTGCCGCCCAGTTGGGTGGGCGTGGAGCAAGACTAGTAACTGTGTGACTCACCATAGATGTAAAGTGCCTTGTATAGTGACTGTTGTGAGCCTCTTGTTGATCACTTGTGACACAAAACATTATTGATGTGTGTATGTGAGTGGGTGATTAAATATGTATGTTTATGCATATATGTATACGTATGTATATATATATATATATATATATATATATATATATATATATATATATATATATATATATATATATATATATATATATATATGTATGTACATGTATGTATGAGAATGTGTACATGTATATATAACATTAATCATTTTGTAATTAGCGTCAAAAGATTATTTGCTTAGCTAAACGAACCAGAGAGTTCAGTTCCTGAACCGATTATGTGCCTCTGTAATCCTTCACTCCACCGCCCACGGGATGGGTATGGGGTGCATAATAAAGAAAGACATTGAAATTGATTGTTGGGTGTGATTAGTGGCGTTAATGATTTATGGGAATTGGTGGTGTTGGTGGATTGGAGGTTGTTGGATTTGCATCGTGTTGGTGGATTAAAAGGGGTCTGGTGGTCATGGTGGATTTCAGGTAGCGGGATTGTGATGGTTGTGGAGTTACATAGAGGCAGTTGCAGCTTTTGTGAGATGACACAAAAATCAGGATGAAAATTACCTCTGCTGAAGACACTGAAAACCTACAAGCAGATATTAATAAAGTTTTTGACTGGGCATCAGAAAATAACATGATGTTTAACAGTGATAAATTCCAGGTACTCAGGTACGGTAAAAATGATGACCTTCAACATAATACAGGTACAAAACACAATCAAATGTGCCCATAATAGGAAAACAACATGTAAAGGATTTGGGAATAATGATGTCCGACGACCTAACGTTTAGGGAGCATAACCAAGCAAATATTGCGACAGCCAGAAAAATGATAGGATGGATTACGAGAACTTTCAAATCCAGGGATCCCATCACAATGGTTGTACTCTTCAAGTCACTTGTGTTGTCCCGTCTCGAGTACTGCTCGGTACTCACTTCCCCCTTCAAAGCAGGAGAGATTGATGAAAAAGAGGGAATATAGAGAACATATACGGCACGCATTGACGTGATAAAGTACCTAAATTATGCTCAAGCACCTCAAAGCTCTCCAAATGTACTCACTAGAAAGAAGACGAGAGACATAATATATACATGGAAAATACTAGAGGGCCAGGTCCCAAATCTACACAGTAAAATAACAACGTACTGGAGTGAACGATATGGAAGAAAATGCAGAATAGAACCAGTGAAGAGCAGAGGTGCCATAGGCACAATCAGAGAACACTGTATAAACATCAGAGGTCCGCGGTTGTTCAACGTCCTCCCAGCAAGCATAAGAAATATTGCCGGAACAACCGTGGACATATTCACGAGGAAACTAGATAGTTTTCTTCACGGAGTGCCGGACCAATCAGGTTGTGGTGGATATGTGGGCCTGCGGGCCGCTCCAAGCAACAGCCTGGTGGACCACACTCTCATAAGTCAAGCCTGGCCTCAGGCCGTTCTTGCGGAGTAGAAGAACTCCCAGAACCCCATCAAGCAGGCATCAAGCAGGTAACACACATGGAGAACACTGAGGGGTGAGCAGGGTAGGGTGCTCTACCACACAACAACATGCACTAACCTAGGTTAGGCTTGGCCGAGTAAGGCTGGGATGGGTTAGGTTAGTATGCACAATATGACACAACGTAAGAAATGCAGTGGGTTTTTTTCCTATCTTCTTGAGGTTATCTTGAAATGATTTTGGGGCTTAGCGTCCCAGCGGCCCGGTCCTCGACCAGGCTCCTTTTTGTTACATATCCCCAGGAAGCAGCCCGAACAGCTGTCAAGCTCCCAGGTACCTATTTACTACTAGGTGAACAGGGGCATCAGGGTGAAAGAAACTCTGCCCATTTGTTTCCGATTCCACCGGGGATCGAACCCGGAACCTTAGGACTACGAATCCCGAGCGCTGTCCACTCAGCCGTCAGGCTCCTCTAACGTAACTGTGCCTAACAACAAACGAAGAAAATGCATATGCTTTGCCTAACTGGGACCGTACGAACCCGTGCAACCCACCTAACCTCTCGAGGCCAATGTATAGAAAACGTTATTAATACGGTTTTTAAATCTTGACCAATACGTCATATTTTTATCGGATGTATTTAGTCCATATATTAATGCGACGTGTTAATCACGAAGACGAGGGGGAGGACGAGGGGGAGGACGAGGAGGAGGACGAGGAGGAGGACGAGGAGGGAGGACGAGGAGGGAGGACGAGGAGGGAGGACGAGGAGGGAGGACGAGGAGGGAGGACGAGGAGGAGGACGAGGAGGGAGGACGAGGAGGGAGGACGAGGAGGGAGGACGAGGAGGGAGGACGAGGAGGAGGACGAGGAGGACGAGGAGGGAGGACGAGGTGGGAGGACGAGGAGGAGGACGAGGAGGAGGACGAGGAGGGAGGACAAGGAGGGAGGACGAGAAGGGAGGACGAGGAGGGAGGACGAGGAGGGAGGACGAGGAGGAGGACGAGGAGGGAGGACGAGGAGGAGGACGAGGAGGAGGACGAGGAGGGAGGACGAGGAGGGAGGACGAGGAGGGAGGACGAGAAGGGAGGACGAGGAGGGAGGACGAGGAGGGAGGACGAGGAGGGAGGACGAGGAGGGAGGACGAGGAGGAGGACGAGGAGGGAGGACGAGGAGGGAGGACGAGGAGGAGGATGAGGAGGGAGGACGAGGAGGGAGGACGAGGAGGAGGACGAGGAGGGAGGACGAGGAGGGAGGACGAGGAGGAGGACGAGGAGGAGGACGAGGAGGAGGACGAGGAGGAGGACGAGGAGGGAGGACGAGGAGGAGGACGAGGAGAATGAGGAACCACTCATAAGAAAATGTCTAAGATGAGGTATGGAAAGTGTTCCGTCTTGGCACTATGAATGTCAACGTCGACCTCGAACTTACGCCAAGATTGAGGCAGCTCTGGCAGATGCCTCGCCTTGGTGGCCCTGGCTCCTGGTGTGGCCAGGTTAACCCCTCTACAGGGACGCATGGTGTGGCCCTGGCTCCTGGTGCGGCCAGGTTAACCCCTCTACAGGGACACCTTGTGTGGCCCTGGCTCCTGGTGTGGCCAGGTTAACCCCTCTACAGGGACGCATGGTGTGGCCCTGGCTCCTGGTGTGGCCAGGTTAACCCCTCTACAGGGACGCATGGTGTGGCCCT